TCTGGAGAAGGTAGAGGTTTCGAATAAGATTCCAGAAATGAATTTCCCACTCTACAATGATTCAGAACAGAAGACGGCAATGCTCCACATCTACATCGGCCAACTTAATCTCGCTAGAACTTGACCATATCGAATTTCTGGCTAATCATTTCCAAGGTACTATCTCAAAAGGTTCAATTCTTTCAAAACAACGCGCGTAATTCGTGAAGAGAGCACTAGAATGACACCTAAACATGAAATTGTTCGATTCGACCCCTCTCCTTCCCGTGGGGTTTTAATAGCGGAACAGTACCATACAGGCTCGTATTAACGCATGGAAAAGACATTCTAAGGAATGTCAATGGCAAACCCGTAGCTAACAACGTTACGATGCAGATGCACACAACAAGTCAATAAAATAGCTCAACAACAGCAGCCCAGTTCGCCGCTCTCTCATTCTGCTCACTCACTCACTCTCACCTCCCGTGAAACGCGGTCCGACTCCAATCATCAGGAATCACACACCAAAGATTACAGACAGGGGCAACCGTGCGTTGCACAGCTTTCAAAATCATTACAACCCTCTCCTCTTCAGAGGGATAAAAATACGCCCCCCCCCCCTGTCCTGTATTAGCTATTCTGTCTTTGTACAGGGGTGGCCAAAAAAAAAGAGACACTTCACTCAACATTCAAAACGGAATTATTTACGCGTCGCGAAACCAAACCAAATGACCCCAACTGAATATTGAAGAGCACGTTATAATCTATCAACAAGCTACACAACAGCCTTCTACACCGACGACATCAGAAGATTTTCCCACGGAAGCATTGTGCGCGGTACGATCTCAACGAGGTCGTTGAGATACCATAGACGATTACGACGTCTCTGAAACGCAGGTCAAAAGCGGTTTTGCACATTCACAGCTAATGTCTCTGGGAAGCTATTCAACAATTAATTCACTGAGGAAATTGTGTAGCAGCTTCAGGTCGGAGCGATTTCGGTAAGCCTCGTTGAGCTCGACGGTGACGGCAGATGACGTCATATTCTGGAGACGGCAGGGGCAGTGAAGGAGTGCTTGCTTCTGTTTACGGAGGAACAACTAAGGAATATAACGCCATAAAACTTTCATTAACATCGGCTCCCTGTGTGACGAAAAGTTCGATGATGTGCGCCATGGGCTGAGTGTCTCTTTTTTTTGGCCACCCCTGTATATACGTTGTTTCCATCATCAATAAGGTGTGCTATTTATTCCGCTAGAGGTGGGACTTATGGCAAAATGACCTAACTGCCATACAATAAATAATTTAATCTCCCCTGTATCCGCAAAGAACTTTGCTTTCAACTAGCAATTTTCTTCGAACATCCAAACTCTCTTTCATTAAAAAAATGAAAAAAACAATACTTGTAACAGAAGTAGGCCTCTTTAATAGGGCATGTGCTTCCTTCGGAAGCGTTCTCATGGGGCGGGATACGGATTATGGACACTCAAAATGTTGCTTTTTCTAGTAAGTGATTGAACTGTTTCAAATGTGCAGTCTCCTCAAAAAATCGTCCTGTTTTTTCCTTTTCCTAAGCACATGCGAGCTAAGAAACTGCGTTTTAGAGCTTTCGAAAAAGTATTTAAAGCGTTTATGGAGGAATCCTCCTTCAAAAAATAATCCTGTTGCTCCTTTTCAAGGGTTTGTGGCTCGAATTTCCAAGAAGGTGCGTGTTTCACCATCCAGCGCTCATAATTTCCTACATAATTAATTTTTTGCAGACCACCAAAACTAAATAGAAACTAAGAAATGAGGTCTTTCAAAGAAATACTAAGAATTTTTAGAATACTTCTGTCAAAAAACAGTCCGGCTGGTCCGTTTCCGTGTGTAGCTTTTTTAGGGCACTCTCCTGGCACGCGAATTTTCAACATTCAAACTCCTATAAGTTTCTTCAAGAATCGCTACAATGGGAAGGGTGGAGGCCACCAAAATCTAAAAGACTATGCTATCTTAAACTCACTGAGCGCTCCAAATCGCAATGCCCCCCTCCCTTGCTGGATAAGACCCTTAAAAAATCTTGCAACTGATATTCTATCCAAGTTGCCAAAGAATGGGAGAAAGAAAGGGGCAAGAAAGAGCAACCAACAGCAGCTTGGCTTTTCACCAAGCAATAAACTGACACAGCAACGCGCAAGCAGGATCTGCATGCTGTTGTTTATGCCATGGGCCGGTTGCAGCCAGGTCGGGGATGGGTCCCCAAAACTCTGCATCTCTAGACTCATCCCCTATTCTTGAATATGAGGACTGCGTCATCGATCAGTATAGAGACGCAGTGTTGGAGACCCATTCACGGCGCGGTTTTGCTGCACCCGGCACCCAGCTGTGCGCTGTTATTCAGCTGAAGGTAATGTTTTCCACGAGAAAGGGTTACACCCTCACAGAATCGTCCCAACATCCTTCTTACCAGGATTCGTATTGCCCTACAATTTTACTTGTTTTCTGTGACATAATTAAGTTCTTGCATCAATTAGACCATAACCTCTGCGCAGTGATTTTAAACTGGAGAAAATTAAGTCCAGAACTATGAATAATTACATTGGTCTTAAACTACCACTCCATCAACAAACAAGAACAATTTCAGGGAACCACAACAACACTTTATAATTATAAATATATTTCAGCGAGAAAGGAAATAAAACAATCACACGAAACACCACGCTCAATAAATTATCCACATGCATAATCACTGTAACAGTAATCATTCGAAAATCAGCGCAACCTTTCACAGTTCCCGTGGTGAAAGAAAAGAATGCAGAAAAAAATTAAAATAAATAGTGAAAGGATCTGAGGCCTAAAACCAATAAGAGACAGATGATATTCAAAATTCAAGCCGACGGAGAGAAAATGCTAAACCTCATTTCTAAAATCACGATGTCTCTCGACCGGCCACCATTCCGCTATGCTTTCATTTGGGCTACGTATCACATTTTGTAAAGGACCACCAACTAGACAATAAATTATCAGAAAGAAACACTCATACTTTCAACATTAAGTTACAATATGCAGAAACATTTGCTTAAGATGACGATCTGCTTCTTCAGTCCTGAGAAACATGATACGTTTCCGGACTGAGCGCCAAGAACATGTTCACATTTAGTTCGTCTTCTTCTTGCCCTTCTTCAAGTTACCATCCAGTTCATCGACCTGTTCAGGTTCCTGAAATAGCTACTTGATGCAAAAAGAATAGGTTGAAACATTAATGAAACGAATATTTGTTCTGAATGCACTTCAACACTTACAGAGATTGGAGTCATCCGCTTTCACTTTCTTAGCCTTTGGCTGAGGAGTAAGTCGCTTTGTCTCAGTTTTGGACTTCCTGCTAGCGCTTTCCCTGAAAATGAAGGAGTGAATTGCGCAGCCGCAGCCACAGTTTCGAAGCCCCTACAAGCAATGAAGGAAAGCACTCCTTGAAGTATTCTTCCGTCATAAAGAGCAATATGGAGGACGAAGAAGAGGAGTGAACAGGAAAATCCAAAAAAATGGTTGAGCTGTTCACACTAGGTGATATACCTCTCCTCGTCATGAAATCAGAAAGTTTCCACTTTTTGCTAAATTCCGGAGCAACAGCAAGGGTCGATGAAATTTACGAATAGAGCACGCTTGCTCATAGAAATAAAGAAGGTTATAGACCGTTATAGGTGGTGCTACGAAGGACCGAGAAGAGATAAAGAAAAAAAAGCATAATGCATGAAACAAAAGAATTAACGCTACAGAGCAAAAAAGCAGCTAGATTTTCGTGAAATTTACTTGAAAT